CAAAAAAAAAATCTCTCATTATCACAGCAATGGATCAAAGGACTACTGAGCAACATCGGAAGCAACATACTGTTTTTTTCTTTTAAAGGAACCTTGGCCAAGATGAAGTCTGAAGCTACAAACTCAGAATAAAAGTGGGGAAACGAGTCCTCTAACTTTTCCTTATCTAGCCTGCACGTTGGTCCTGATTCACAAACACTTTGGTCAGATGGTGCTCTCTCTCTCTCTCGTCTTGAAATAAAAGCTGTGCTGTGGCCTCCTCGAAAAAGACAACAACAACAGCCTTAATAATAACAATAAAACATTAGAAAAATAATAAAAAAAATTAAATGAATAAATATCCACCATTATAAATAAATTAGTGTGGAAAATTCGTACATTGAAACAGGTAAACTAACACCTTAAGCATGGTACAAAAGAAAAAAAAATAGATTTTTGTAATACATTATCACTGCCTCCATTTCGAAAACTACAAGGAAAATAAAACACTGCTTTTTTACTGCAAGCAATCCGTCCCCAGTTAGCTAGTTAAAGGGATGTTGGAGAAGTCTGTCTTGAAAGGAATGGCAGGCTGTTCTGCACCGGCGCAGAGCAAGGAGACACTAAGCTCTTGGTGTCTTGCAGCCCGAGCTGTGATCTATCAAAGCCAACACCCGCTGTGAAACCTGGAACTTCGCAGGACCCCTGGGGAACACTGGCGAGGTTTGGAAGAACGGACAGGATGAATAAATATTCGGCAACACTTTTATTAGAATGTTGCTGCCTAAAGGGTTCACAACCCCCTTACAGCCGCTGCAGAAGATGTTATCACCCGTACGATGCTTTACATCACCTGTGCATAAGAGGACTGGACATTTGTTCTAGCGTTGCGTCACACGAAAGTTCTACAAACTATGCTAAAACAGTTGTCCTGACCTCCCGCGTTCGGGTCACATTGTTTGCACGTCAATATGAAGCGTCACGCAGGCGATAACGACGTCTTCAGCAGCAGTTAGGAAGGGATTATGGAGCCCCTGTGCAGCAACTTTCCCAAGAGAAAACTCTGCTAACAGATCAGGCTCGGGTTTCTGGGGGGTGTCTTTGCTCTTTACGACCAGGAAACCGCAGTTCGTGCAAAAAAAAAAAAAATCTACCCTTCCACACTCCCAACAAAAACACAAACAAGGGATAGAGCAGCAGAAACCTTCTCTTCTGTATTTGGTGTCAGGTGGAAGGGGTCACTACAAACCTACAATGGTTTCCATTCAAGTAATTCAAACCCGCCCAGATAAAAACACAATATGTTTCAGTTTTGTTCGTTCAGTTTTGTTTTGATATCCCTTTTCCTCCCACCCTTCACTCATCCAGCCCCGGAAAAAAAAAAAAAAGAAGAAAACAGACATGGGGACCAACAACTGTTCTTCATGCCTCTCCATGTGGGATCTGTCAAGTCTCTAAACAGCTGTGATGGCTGAAAGGGCCTGTAGGTGACTTGTGAAGAATTTGGCACGGGATTACCGACACAGTACTTGGTAAAAAAAAAAAAAGACAAGAAAATGAACCTTGATCTACCAAGTCCTGAAGATCACACCAGGGAAAAAAACAACAGACGGGATCTTCAGCCTTCGTAAGGATCATAAGAACCCGTGCCATACACCAAAGAACGACCACCCTCAATGCACGAATCGGAACATGAATCTGCCAACACCACGGTCAACTCAAAAGGGACACTTAGTTTCTGCACTGCGCCCTGCAGTGCTCAGCATTGTTTTTGTTTTTGTAAGACAATGGGCATCAATGCTTCGAACTCTAGGGCATTAGTCTCTCTCCCGGTGCCGACATTCATCGCGATGTTTCTCGTCTGCCGGACTCCTGATGGAGGACCACACCGCTTCCGGGCGATTTTCCCGCACAGGGGAAAAAAAAGAAAAAATCCCGCGCCCGGATCCCTGCCCTACCCTGCCCTAGGCTCGTCATTAAAGGCTGAAATGAAAATACATTCTTTGACTTTTTTTTTTCTGAATTCTTCCCTTCCAAAACGAACCAGGAGCACACACAGCCCGTGTCCCCTTCTCCTTCCCTATTTGAATGGTTTTCCAGCAGTTTCTCTTCCTCTGTTTTTTCCTCCTCTCTCCCATCTCTTCCTCCAGCTAGAACTCCCTGCCCTGTCTGCACTCGAAAGGAAGTGTAACTTTCCACCCTTTTGGACACACCCTTATGATTATGACCTCCTTAGATAAAACAATAATAGCAATAACGATAATAACAATAAGGTCACAATTCTTTTTTTTTTTTTTTTCCCTTTCCTGCAGGTGATGCTACTACTAAGTCTACCTAATACACTAACTAACCCAGATCTTGGTCACCTGCTGGAGAAACGCAAACAGCTCAAGAAGTAAGACGAACGCCTGGGTCAGTGAGGAGCCTCCTCCTGACAGACGGCGCCCCCCAGAGGGGGGGATGAGTCTCTGCAGGCCCACGCCCAACAGGGGCTACTGTTTGTACTGGACCAGCGTGGGGCTTCCAGATGCAGCCCCACGGCAGATTTCGCAAGGCCGCAGCTCGAAAGATCTTCTCTCTGTGCTCCCGCTCCTCTTTTTTTAAAAAATATTTCTTAAGATATTCAGCATGAGGATTTGTTGCTTCGTCCCGTCTTCAGCTCCCGGCGCTGTTGAGGTCACCC